TATCGTGATATATATCGTATCACCAGAATTTCACCACCACATCCCTAGTTAAAACATTGAGAGGTTTTATTTAGTCCCCAAATTAGCCATTGTAGCTTTAAGTTAATTCAACATTTCATTTCTTACTGTGTACATTGGTCCCTTTTCTAAGATTCAACAGTTTTTTAAAAACTTGTATTTGTGTAGAACTGTAATTTTCCAATCATTATCTAATCTTCTCAAGATTGGATCGTATTACCTGCTCAGGTGTAATCTATAAGCAAGACTGGGCAGAAAACCCAGATTTTTTGTTCTTTGAACTGAATTCATCTCCAAGAATCTACAATAAATCTCAGTTTTTCTTTTTGTGTTTCCCCTGCAGTATTCAGTCTTATATATTATACATATATATTACATGACTTGTGTCACACTACAAAAGAATAATAATCAAAGTGATGTTGCAGATGATGTCTGCTTCCAGCCCTGTGTGTTCAGCAGAATACAAATAGTTGAAAAATGAGTAGATTATAAAAAAAGTTTTAATGTTTTTAAAGGCAACCAAAAAGAGATACAAAGTATTTTTTTACATCAAAATCTCTTTTATTTGTGAAGCCATTCTTCCTGTTGATAAAGTTATTCATCAGTGAAACTCAAATTTTCATTTTGTGCTGACAGCATTTTGGTGTTTTGTTCCCATTGGTTGGCACTTCTAAGCCTGACTGGTGCACACTTTTTATTTTTGGTGCTTCTCGCTGCAAGCTGAAGTTGTGAGATAACGTTGGGTACTGGAGGACATTGGACCGACAGCACTTACTGGAGCAGCTGAGTTTTTTATTTAGCTTTGTCTTTATGAGTTTTGTTTTCTGTCTTTTGCATATTTTAACAAAGTTCAAACATCTGTTCACCGGTTGTCATTTAACTGATTTAAAGACACTTCACTTTTGTTCAGTTTTCTTTTTTTCTTTTTTTTTTTTGCCTTATTTAAAAAAATAAACAGTGCAAGAAGTTTTTTTTTAACAAACTGCATAATTTTTTGTTATATTCATATCCCTTGATGTTGGTTCAGTGTCATTTATCTGTTAGGTATGCAGTCCGTATAAGAAAAAGATAAAAGTTCCATTAAGTGGATTAATAAAGTTTGGGCTGAAACAATCTTAATAGTCTCATGTTCTTCAGAGTGTCAGTTAAAATTTCTCTGTGAGATAAAAGTTAACTGGTCAGTTGAGTTTAACATGCAGGCTGAACATGAAAACAGTCTCTGCCTCTATTTTCCTGGATTAGCCGCCAATAGAAAATAGAAACGCTTGGTCCAGCAAAAGCCACTCACAGCTACGTTTCATTGATAAGGAACATTCATGGACTCGCCCATCTTGGCTCACAGTGGGGAATGCTGTTGTTTCAGCATCCAGGAAACAGCAACGAACGTCTCGGCGAGTAGAAGCTAACCGTTAGCATTAGCAACACAACCACACAGCAGAACTCCTCCAGGCGTGTCTTATTTGTGGAGATAAAACATTAATGTTACAGATAAAACAGAGTCAGTGATAGAGTTGTGTTGCTGTTAGCCAGTCAGAGGAGAGATGTCTGAATATCTTGAAGATTAATGAGTAAGACTCCTCATCCTGCCCTTTCCTGCTCCCTTCTTCTCCGGCTGACTTCTACTCCTTTTTAACTTTTAGTAGAATTTAGATAGAATTTTTGGTCATGCTTTTGTCATAGTTGTTCTTACATTTTTTAACAAATTTCATAGGTTGAGTTATGTTTTCTCGCATTTCTTTGTATCTAGAGTAGTTTCAACAACATTAGCAGGCCATAGATGTCTCCTTTTGTTGTTGAGCAGTTTTCCATTTTTTTGTCCACCTGTTGACAAGCAATATGTGTAGTCCTCAGTTTCTCTGATAGTTGTCAAATCATATTGTTTTATTGCATTTTTGTACATGTTTGAATATCTAGGGACTAAAAATTTCAGTTGACCTAAGGGTTAAAGCAGGGGTGTCAAACATGCGGCCCGCGGGCCGGATCCGGCCCGCAAGCGGGTTCAATCCGGCCCGCGAGATGGTTGTGTAAACTTTATTTTCTTACTTTACAATGTAGAGTGAAAATAAACTTATCATTGTGAGTAAGCTTTCTCTGTAATGAGTATAAATAAAACAAAGCTGCGCTCAAGGCTTACACAAGAACTTGAATCACATCCTGAAGTTGGCCGCCACTCAGGATGTGACTTCTGATATTGATGTGCTGGTGAAAGCTAAAAGATGTAAAATAAAATGAGTCAAATATACTTTAAGTGCTGCATGAAACTGATCTAGCCATGTGATCTGTAAGCTCTGAATCACTAAGGAATGTTTTTTTTTTAATTTGTAGATTATTATTTATTTTTCAAATTTTCAAGTACACTTCAGGTGTTGTACTTGTACTACACTGTCAGGCTCCAGCCTTGTCTTATACTGATTGTATTAAAACAAAGAAAACAATCCGAAGTTTTTTTTTTGTTTTTTTTTTTTTTTTTTACCGGTCCGGCCCACTTGGTACTAGATTTCCCTCAATGTGGCCCCTGAGCTAAAATGAGTTTGACACCCCTGGGTTAAAGTGTTTTCTGTTGCTTTTTGCTGTAAAGGTGTAGAAATGATTTAGTTTCATCATGTTAGAGTTACTTAAAGGCAGGGCAACCCCCCTAAACAGTCAAATATATATATATATTGTAATAATGAGTTTAAATCTCAGATTAATGTGACATTTTAAAATAAAGGTGTTAGTTGTCAGTAGACAAAACAATGCTCTATCACATTTAGTTTTTAAGGGGTTGCAGTTCAGTTCCTACTACTACTTTTCTGTATTTGACCCACAGTTTAGAACAGAAGCTCTGCGGTGTAAAGCTGAGTTAACACGTTGGAGGAGCTGCTCTCTGCAGTGCTTTCAGACACACCGAGCTGCTGTCACACTGCGGGGCAAACAAAGCACTTGTGGTAATAGTGGCTCTCACCACCAGGCACCTGCACTCAGTGTTTTCTAGATGGATCAATAAATCTGTCAACTCCTAACCGAGTGGAGCCTTTTTCATGTTTGAACAGTCATTGCTGCAGAGCACAGCACAAAAAAGAACCCTTATGTGTCATTAAAGCCTCGAGAGGAGGCAAAGTGTGTTTGGGGATTTGTTTTATGGAGAACAATAGCGAAGATTAATGTAAATAAATATGTTTGTGCTAAGAGAAAGAAAATTTTACGCTGAAGTCTCGTCGATGTGCTCCAACGATTCTGCAGAGCACACAATTAGGATTTGGACTTTTTGTTTTATTAGTTTCTTGCAGAGAAAAGATGTTCTACTTTCATCAAGTCCAACTTAAGCACGTTCGAAATATCTCACTAGGTTTATCTGTCCACGCACGGAGTGAACGGGATTCTCTTAACTGAAAATGATGTGGAGTGTGAGCAGAACCCTGAAGGCACAGTGTTCCTGAAGAGTCAGCAACTTTCTCTCAGTCCCATTAGGGTTAGGGTGGATTGGAAAATTGTAAGTAAATTTAAAGAGACTCGCTGAGTCTTCATCAATGGAGGTCATCAGTATTGAGTTTAAAGAAGATTCTGTTCCTTTCATTTGGACTCTAAATGAACCAGAGTCCTGCGTGAGGGTTGTAGTTTTGGTTAGCGTTTTTGTAGTTGACCCCGCACATGAATCCAAATCCCTTTCCGGTTTAGAAGACTTTCAGAGCGATCTGTGAGAACAGCGTATTTTTTGTAGTTGAAGTGCCTTATTTACCAGAAACATAGTGTACCTGTCTGTTGTGAGCATGTTTGCCACTGGCCATGTGTTCAGTTCAAAAATGGAGACAAAAGCCCCTCACTGAACTCATTTTTTCATGCACACATTTTGTGTGTCTACGTGTTGGTCGTGTGACCTGAAAACGCTCCAGCGTCGCAGCTCCGGAGCGTCCCCCATGGAAATTACTGAGACTTCTGGGGACATGTTTGTTTAACAGAAACACAGGTAGGAACGGAGACCTGGGGATGTGTGACAGGTGATGACAAATGCTGAAAATTAAGTTTTCTACCTGGGGCTAATAGGTGGGTAAGGCTTGTGAGAGTGAGCGTGTGAAACTAAAACAAGATTAAATCTGTAATTAGACATGCCTGGATAAAAAATCCTTCTTAAAGGCAAAAATTAACATGTAAAACTGTAAATAACTGATTAAGTTTTTCAAACTGTAACATAGGCTGTTGATGTTCATGGTAAGAATCCCTACAGCAAACAAAACCAAGAGCACCTGGCTGCAGACCTCCACTGTCAGGCTGCTTCCGGTGGAGGCTCCACTGTCAGGACGGTCAGGACGGGAAATGCACGGGGTGCATTACAAAATCAAACGGCAAACATGCTTACGCTTGTAATTGATAGGTTTCAATATAAAATATTAAGTAAAATCTATCAATTATTTCTCTATAGTTCATATGTAGTTGTCATTTAACATACTTACGGTTGTAATTTTTCAAAATGAATTAACGAATGGCCGGGGTAGGTTTCAACATAAAACGCTAACATACGCTAACATACTTGGGGTCGTCATATTTCTAAATAAAATCCCGAATGCTGTTTCGGTTGAATCGCTCTCCTCAGAAACACATTTATTTTTTAATATTACGTAAAATCTATCAATTATTTCTCTATAGTTCATATATAGTTGTCATTTATTTAGTAATCCTTAGTTTTGTTTGTCATTTTTGTTGTGTGTTTTCCTTTACTGTTGCACAACGTGGTCATTATGATATATTCTGTCATAATCTAAGACACAATATTAGAAAATGAATGCGTTTCTGAGGAGAAAGATTCAACCGAAACAGCATTTGGGATTTTATTTAGAAATATGACGCATGCTGATGTATGCTAGCGTATGTTAGCGTTTTATGTTGAAACCTACCCCTGCCATTCGTGAATTCATTTTGAAAAATTACAAGTATGTTAAATGACAACTACATATGAACTATAGAGAAATAATTGATAGATTTTACGCAATGTTTTATATTGAAGCCTATCAGTTACAAGCGTCAGTATGTTTGCCGTTTTCCGTAAGTACGTTTGCCGTTTTATTTTGTAATGTATCCCGTGCATTTCCCGTCCTGACAGTGGAGCCTCCACCGGAAGCAGCCTGATGGTGGAGGTCTGCAGCCAGGTGCCTCTCAACAAAACCAGCTATTTATTCTCATATAAAAACGCTCTTACATTGATACGTCAGATCTTTACAGCTGTGTTTCTGTGAAAAGTAAAAAATATGATCTGACTTTTTGCCATTGTTAATAGATCTCGGAACAACTTCAAGGCAACGGAAGTGAGTTCCCATTGGATTGATAAGCTAATGGTTAGTCTACCCCTTGATTATTGCAGCCAATTTAAAAATGACTTGATTTCATAAAACTTTAGGTTTTTGCATTTCCATTGAACACTTGTGTAGTGGGAAATTTACACATGTGTAAAATAGGCTGTTGCCACCCAATCCCTGGACTGGCTGCTTTAAGGGGAGGAGCTCCGGTATGCGAAAGGTCTCGGAGTCTAGCAGCTGCCCCTCTAGCACCAATAGGTGAGGGGTTGTTTTTCTTGACACCTAACACTGACAGAAAATGTTTTTTTTTTTCATGTTTGGAGTGTTTATTGAGGCAGTAGAGACCCACATGGCAGTATAAAGGATGCCAGCAACCCACTTTAGTTTTTCTAAGGCTTACCATTAGCAAAATTCCCCACACTAGGCCATGCCACTCTGTGCCTCCTGGCAACGCCCACTTTCATAACATTTTTTCGAATCTTGACCAGGAGTGGAGGACCACCTTGCCTGCTGGTGGTGATCGGAGAGACCGGTGGCGCCTGTGCTCAGCAACCTCGCCTCTGTCAGTGCGCCCGAGGGCAGCTGTGGCTACATTGTAGCTCATCACCACCAGTGTGTGAATGGATGAATGATACACTGTAGTGTAAAGCGCTTTGGAGTCCTTACTCTGAGAGGCGCTATACAAGTACGGGTCATTTACCATTTACATTTTCTGATGGGGTGCAGTCCCTCTTTAAACAAACGGAGCAACATTTTTTGTGTGATATGCTTGTCAGCCACTAGATGGTGGCGTTGGATAAGATAAATACTCAGGAAAGACGCTTTAAGCGTTAAAGGGGCCATGTCCGCTTTTTGGAGCTTTTTAGCATGTAATATTGTTTTTTTCTCATGAAAAATCCCCCCAACCCGTTTTTTTTTTTTGGCATTTAACTGTTTCAGCTGCAAATTTTGTATATTATTTTGAAATTCCTGAAATGGCCTAATAAGTTGTACATCACTCCATCTTCCTTCTCCCAACACCAGACCCTGCTCCAGACACTCTCAGCAGCAACTCTTTTTCATCCTTCTTTTAGATACACTTGTATTATTACAGTATTATATTTTCAACCCGTTATAGGCAAACAGTTTAAAATGTAAGACTTTTTTTTTGTTTATCTAGTCAGTGTGAGTCCATGTGAGGTGGGCAGAGTAAATCAACTAAAATGCTGCTTGGAAATGACTAAATTCAAAGATCTTTAGACTCGCAAAATGTTTTTGGGAAAATAATAAAAAAAAAACTAAAATATAAAAGAATAAAATCAGCTTCAGCTGCTGACAACACCGAGATTTGAAACCACATGAGCACATGACAAAACTGAGACAGCAGGCAGGACTACCATAGCCAACATGGAGGTCAGTGTGCCTAAGACGCTGTTGTTGGCACGTTTCATAAGAGCAGGTGTGGGCGGAGCTTCACTGAAATGAAGCATTTTATTTCAGGTATAAATTCAGACTGACAAATAAGTCACATTTAAGATAAATTACATCTCAGTAGTGCCAACTGTGACGTTTTATCATACTGTGCCTACCATTGCTCTCAAATGTTTAAAATAGCATGATCTGGATCTTTTAAAACCATTAAAATGTACTGTTAAGAACTATGCTAGGTTTTGTGAAAAAATCAGCTTCCTCTTGTTTTTCCTAACAAACTGCTACCATTTCTTCAGTAGATCTACTTTTATGTGTTTTGTTGACTTTTAAATCAACATTAACTATAAAAGAGCAGAATTACTGAATGCTACTTTTTCACTTGAGTTTCTCCAAATGTCCATCTAGTAAGTTTTTCACCCACTTGAGAAATGACTTCACTGTAACCCAAGCATGACCTTTTATTATTACTTAAAATCCTCCTGTTGACTCGACCTGGCTGAGTGTCTGTAAAGAGTTTGTATCTTAAACACACCAACACAGTCTCCAAGGTCAGCATCTTCTCCCTTCAAACTAAAATAGAACCGCCTCCTTGACTTGTTGAGCATTATCCCCATCTAAGTACCTTTAACTTGACTCTGTCAGCCTGATAGACGAGATAGTTCTTAAGTGAAGCCGCTGCAGCAGCAGTTGGGGCAAACCTCTCGGATGGAAGCGCTGACATTGACAGATGGGTGCAATTGATGTACAGTGCGGCCTAATTAGCGGCAATGATGATGCACCTGGCTGGTCCTAATGTCATCACATAGATGTCAGTCATTATTAACATCGACCTTGATGTTTTAAGTCTCTAAGGTCTTCTGTCCCTCTGACTTTGAGATTCCTGGTGAATTTAACCCTCAGCATTACTGTCTGTCATTGGAGAAAATGTTCCGTCACACATCACACAATCGGGTCATGGCTGTCTTGTCACTGCTGATTCACTGAGGTGGACACTTTCCCCTTAATTCTCCTTTATTTCACTCCTCCTCCTTCTCTTCTGCTCGGGCCAATCAGGCCACACCTCCATAGCAACCGTCAGCGAGGGTAAAACATCCACAGATGGTGTTGAGTAGAGCGTGAGCAGCAGGCGCACTACGAGATCCAGTGTGAGGGGGTGTGCGTTTGTTTGTGTGTCTGCTGGAGAGAGCGAGAGACCCGCCGTGCTGCGAAGCCAACAGGGTAGTCTGTAGTAGTGCAGAAGGAGGAGGAGGAGGAGGAGGAGAAGAGGTATTTGCACAAAGGAGTTGCGGGAAAAGTGTCAAAAGAAAGTGAGAGGAAACAAAAAGGAGAGGTGACCCTATCATCCAAAGAAAACAGCTGGGAAGCAAATATTAATGACCTGATAAAAAGAGCACCCATCGTCCCCGTGGAGCCATCAAGACTCTGCTGTCCACTCGCTGATGAGCATCACTCCACCAGCTGACACAGCCACAGGTGCGGAGGAGAGAAGAGGACATCCCATCCAACTGAAGTCTTCCCTGGATTATTTTCTGTTTCTAACTTTTTAAGTCCCGCTTCTTGCGTGCTGACGCCTTCAAGCTTCCCCAAAGATGAGCTGCAGGAAACGGTGCAAGCGAGAGATCTTCAAGTTCGCACAGTACCTGTTCAGACTCATCACGGGCACGCTCAATACCGGTAAGACTGTCAGCGTTGGCACTGGCAGGGATTTTCATCCAATCTGTTTCGTATTTGTTAGCAACAGTTGGGCTCTCCCAACGTGTCCTCTTTTAAAAAAAGATGGACGCAGGAAACTTGCTGTGAACACATGAATGATTGTAAAATCATCACCTACTTGAGTAAGGTCTGTGAGAGGAAAAGGGGGGAATTGTTTGAAACCCAGACGCCGAGCCTATGACTTTTAGAAAAGTTTTTATCTGCTCTACGCATTTATCTAACCTTAAGCCTAAAATCACGGCTGTAGAGGAAGTGGAACGCGCTGCCTTCCTCATCCCTGTCTCTGCATTTGTATCATGCAGCAAAGAGGATGAGATTTGGGGTTCCCTGATATGAGCTCTTCTAATAAGACACAGATTCAGTGGCTTTAACAAGATTACATTTGGGATTTGGAAGGATTACCAGCAGATTACATCTTCAAGGTTTCATTGAAGCATATAAAGGTTAGCAGCAGTGGCATAATTCATCCTTTCACGCTCATGCATCAAGCTTCCTGCAGCAGTTACTGTGTTCAGAGCTGTCTACTAGGATGTGCTTTATCTTGGACTTTAAAGGGAGCAGGTTTTGTACTGGAGGGCTGCATAGATAATGTGACTGTAAAGGTAATTTATCCTGACGCCGATGCCTTGTGCATAAGGATCTGATCAGTGGTGCAAATGGAGCAACCGCAGCCCCGTTTTTGAAAGTGAACTCACGGCTTTGTTACTCAGAGTAATGCATCGATTTTGATATTACTTTCTCAGATACAAACCAAAACGTTGGCATTATAAATGGTGTGTGCAGAACCAGCTACAGACACGAGGCAAACAGAGTTTAGCTATGAGATCAGATAAAAGTAAACATGTTTTCTAAATGTTCTAATAGTCCAGAATCTCACTCTGGTAGGGCAGATCGAACAAAATCTCCTCAAGATCATAAAATATTTAGTTTAGGCTCTTCATGCTTCACAAACAGGTGTGTGAACCCCAGAGTGAGCGTTTTTAGATTGAAGGTTATTCAGTCACAAAGTTTTAAGGTTTTCAGCGTCCGATCTTAACTCATATTAAGGAACCGAGTTTTCCTAAAATGCACGTTGCACTGTTTGGTTTCACTTGTCTAATTAATTGATAGGGCCTAATTTTCCCAACAGTCTGCTTTTCGACATTGTCTTCCAAAGTCATTTTCTGGTAACCTTTGCTTCCCGAGTGAGTATTCCTGTTCATCCTTCATGCACATTCCTACTTCAGGAATCCCACACATAATGGTTCTTGTAGTCTGCAAATATGCGGTTGCCGCTCATCTTTGTCTTTCATGAATGCTGGAACCACATCCTGTGTTGTTGTGTTCTGCAGCTTGCATGAAATGTTTCGCCGTCTTTTGTTTGGATTTAGCCGACAACACTCAAAGAAAGGTCCATTAAAATTAGGTTTCCAATTGAACACACTTATTGAAGAGAAATTAGCTCAGACAGTAGCCAACCTACAATTAGATTTTTCACAAAGATGGGCAAGAATGCAAAACGTCTTTAAGTACATAAGACCTTTGTGTGCTGATGCAAGAAAACATTCATACATTCGTATGAAAGGTTTTTAAACTCACGAGCATTGCAATGTAAACATTTACCCAAACTCTGTGTGTGTCTAAGTTGATGTAGGTGTTGTATACATGACTGATTTTGGCCATTGTTTTAAAAGATATACGATATATAGTTATACACAAAACAAACCTAGCAGTCGTATATGTTGGTCATTGGCTGAAAGACAAAGGAATGGAAGGAAGACATTAGAGGTGAGACTGGGGAACTTTCACTTCGGCGGTAGTCATCTAGATCTCGCACTACCTTAGGCCTGGTTCACAGGGCAAGATCTTCAAAACATGATCCCTCCCACACGTGGCAACAAAATCTCACTAAACCGACGGTTTTGATCCTGCTGAGAGGCCACAGCATGGAAAACACACCACACACAAACCGATTCTTCTCATGTACAGGTGAGATGGGAAACTCATGAACCTCACAAGTTCAAAAGTGAGTTGGGATTGAAATAACATGGCAGCCTGGGAGGAGGGTTTGGATTCCCCTTGCTCCGTTCAGCGTGCTTCCATCACCTCACTTTCTGACTCGCTACATGTCACATTCAACAGGCTGCGTGCTTGATATCCTTTGAGGCACACTAATGCTGAGATATCGTGCCAAGACAATGCAGCATGTTGAATATCCCTGATTTGTGACTGGAGCGGTCCTAAAGTGCACCACACATGGAAGACATATCCGATGAGATTAGCTTTAACCCTCTGATGCATGAATTATGAAATCTTCAACCAAGATTTTTTAAACAATTTTTTTCATTCACCTTTAGGTGTGAATGAAACAAATTTCAACAAATATTTTTTGTAACATTTTGTTAATTTACAAATAATTTATTACATGTCCACCCCTGCGGACAGTGTGCATTCTGAACATGAAATATGTTGGCTTGACTTACTGAAGTCCAAATGGAGGTGCTCAAATGCAATAAAGTCTTCAACAGCTGTGCTTAATAGCAAAAATAAAGAAATAACAATTTTGAGTACCTGTCCACTGTAGTGACCATCATGCACCAAAGGGTTAAAGCCATTTAGGTAACCGAAGACATCCGTAAAAGTGTGGATCACTCATTTAATCAATGCATTTGCAGTGGTCTCTAATAGGAACAAATGCCTTGTAAGTTTTAGTGTGGGGAAACAAAGCTCTGGTGCGCCATTTTCTGGAACTAGAAGTGAGCCACGTCAGAACTGAGCTTCAGATGGCAGGATTTAGAGTCTTATTTCCTGACATTTGGACATCTCACCTCTGATTGGCTAACAGCAACACATCTATATCACTGAGTGTTTGCTCTGAAACGCTGATCTTTTATCTCCACAAATAACACCAGTCTGGAGGAGTTCTGCTGTGTGGTGGAGTTGATGATGCTAACAGTTAGCTTCTACTAGCTGAGCCATAGTAGACCAAAACATACTCTGCTGTTTCCTGGATGCTAAACCAATAACAGCCTTCCCCGTCATGAGTCAACATGGGTGAGTCGATGAATGTTAAGTGACAGTGTGATGTAGATCTGTCAGGATTTTCTAATCCTAGATTTTCTCCATCTATGTTCTATCAGAAGCTAATGCAGGAGATAGGTGTAGGAGACTATTTTCCTGTTCAGCCTGCATGAAAAACTCATTCATGGATTATAATCCGAAAATACATTAAAAACTGGCTTTTCAGTGTTCAACTCTTTTAAGATGATCACAAGAGGAGAATCGGGTAAAAGATCGGGACAATTGCCAGCCCTAAGTTGCTGCCAAGTCTTAGTTTAAGTTATTTAGACATGTCATAAAATATGTAAGATTGACTGCATATGTACATTTAGAGTTACCCTGATGTAAGTATGTTAAAGACACAAGTTAACGAATCAGCCTGTATAAATGTAAGCTAATTTATCCAGCTGTGGCCTACTTCCTTCAGTCTCCTTGACCTGAGAGACCGAGAGAACAAGTGAGGAGGAAGAGAGGCCGCCTCATCAGTGGACTGAGCTATAAAAGGACTTCAACATTTCATCTTTCCAACCACATTATTTATACAGGCGTGTGTGTATTTCCTAGCTTTGGAACCTATATTTGTTAGTAGGTTGTATTTTATTTATTGTTTACGACCACCACAGAATCATTTAGGTGGCTGCAATGAAAATCATGTGGTTAATAGCAGCTCTGGTTTTCCTATAATATTGTGTTCTGTTGTCTGTACTTATTAATTATTGATCATGTTAAATATGAGACCTGACTTCATTTCCTTTGGGACAAACTCAATTCAGTGCATGAGGTAGAAAAATATACTTTTACTAAGGCCTGCTAAGGCTAAAGATCCCATTTCATTGGGGCCACTGTGTTTGGGGACATTACAGCCTCATCAAAAATTATGTGATGTGACTCAGGGCAGGAAGGCACTATTTTATAATCTACGTGAAAATTTTAATTCTAATTAGAAGTAATGTGTGATTTATGAGCAGATTTAGCAGCTTTTATAAAGGTGTATCGAACAAAGAGGATTTCTAATATTTAATTGCACTTTGTTTCACAATATTATGGGTTATTGTGGCATATTATGGACATATTTTCCAGATTCTGACTCAGCATTATTTGTCGCACAAGTGTTTAAACAAATTTTGATCTTTAATTATGATCTTGCTCTCAACAGTTTCTCACGTCGGCAAGTTTGCAGCTTAAAGACGAGTAGAGTGGTAGAAGTGCACTCGTATATCAACTCTCCACAAACTTTGCTCATCTTAGGAAACATTTTGTGCTTGGTTCAGGAAAAAAAGCCTCTTTTTCTATTTTCTGGTTTCCAAATTAGAGAGTGTTTACATGAGTCGTGATTGATTTGCCAGAAAAATGGCAACAATGCTCCACTGATACAGCAAATTGAAGTACTTGAAGAGGCTTAAAAAACTACAAAGAGAACACTTTAAAAAGAACAGCTGTGGTAGAGCAGCGTTTTCTGTCCGTGTGCCTGACAGATCAGGTAGTATGAGCGTAAATTCTAAGGGATGTAGACGAGTGGGAGGATCATCATGTACTTACACAAAATGAAGCCAAAATATCCCATTTAGGAGACGGGGGGGGGGGGGGGGGGGGGGGGGGGGGGGTCACCATATTGCGTACTTTTGGAGACAGAGCCTGTGGACTCTTGCTATGAGACAGAACTTCTCAACTACTGACCTACAGATAATGATGGTGTTTTTATAAAATTGTTGAATAACTAATTACATCTAAAGGTTAAAGGTGTGGAACACTGAACATATTTTTTAAATATAATTTCTGATTATAATCAGCCACTCTGAGTTTTTCATGCAGGCTGAACATGAAAAAAAGTCTCCTACACCTATCTCCTGCATTAGCTTTTGGTAGAAAATAGATGGTGAAACTCTAGGATTAGAAAATCCTGACAGATCTACATCACACTG